ATCTCATATTTCACTTCAAAATTTAGGCTCTAGAGACTACTGGAGAATCTTAAACAGTGTCTAATAACAGCAAACCTGTTATTCCACCTCTTATGCATGGTTCAGATTTTGTTACCTCACCTAAAAACAAAACTGAATTGTTTGCTAAAAACTTATCCTTAATCTCATCTCTAAATTCCTCAAATCACATCCCACCTGATATTGTTTACAAATAGATTGATCTATTGCTTGACATTCGTATCAAGCCAGCTTCTGTATCTCAAGTGATGTCCTGCTTAGAATCTTCTAGAGCTTGTGGTCTGGACAACATACCTGTTATAATTTTGCGGAAGTGTTTTTGCAGTTTTCATCTATATTTAAAAAATTTTGTGCTTATCAGAGTCTTGTTTGAAAAGCGGACACTGCTACCTCTATGTTCAAAAACTTTGAAGAGCTTTTTTGTCAAACTACCGCCCAATTATAGGCCTTGTTTTAAAGCGTTAGACGTGGAGCGATTTCAGTTAAGCGACTTTTTATCATTTTTTAACTTTTAAATTGTTTATTAAGTGGTAGGATAAAAGAAGTAACTAATTTAAATAAAAATAAAAAAAACACCACATTAACTTTTGAATGACGTAAAAATATGTAAAAATATTTGTTACAAAAGTTTGAATGACAATTATGTTTGATATAAGCGCTATTTACTCATGAAAAAACTCAAATAAAATTAAAAGCTTATTCTTATTTTGTTTTTATTTTATTGTAATGATTGATTTTTTAAACTTGAAGCAAAGATCATAAAAACATAATTTAATTCTGATAAAAAACATGATTTAATTTAAAACAAATTTAATAAAATATATAATTTCATTCTGATAAAAAAATATATAATTTAGGCTAGCTGTAATTGTCGGCAGTGCCGGCAAATCATTCTGATATTAATTGCTGGCAGCGCGAGTAAAGAAACAATTTAAATGTAATAAATACAGTGATTTGGTAAGTTTATTTGTTTTGGTGTTAAAAAAACAATTTAAATTATGTAAAGTAATATTTATTTATTTTATTTACTTTCATAACTTTTTTTACGTCAGTGTTAAGAAAACAAAGACTTCTATTTTAAATAAAAGACTGCCTGCCCAAACCAAAATCCTCATTCAATGTATGTACACTCTATACACGTCTAACTCTATCAAAGTCAGTTGGTGGTATTTACACTTAACTTTGCCCAAGCCTATTTAAGCCAGTTTATGTATTTAGACTTTGCTGCAGTTAATCCTAAATCAGTCGACGTAAGCATACTCTGTTTCACCTTCGGCTATATCAGTTGTTATATGAACACTTTAAGGCACCTATTAAACTTAAATCGAATAAAAATTAATTAATAATAAATAAAAATTTATAAACACTAATAATAAGTAATACTAATAAAATTAGTAGTTTAAAAAATATATAATTTAATTTTGATTTAACAAATACATTCAAGTTTAATAAAATTAAAGTTAATTTATTGTCGAATTTATTTTAAAATATTACTAAGTCATTTACTTGATTTTCTATTCTAATTTTAAATACTAGTTACAAATATCTTAATAATATACTTTTAAATACACCACATTCTTTAATTTCCAAAGTAAAGTGCAATAATTTAGCTGTGCAAATATTAGTGGTGCACAAATCTTTGAGCGATAAGAACTGTTTTATTTTGAATATTTTGCCCAACATATTGCAGTAATTTTTAAAAATCTTATTTTTTTTAAAAAATAATTCATTGTCAAGTATAACACCTAACAAGCTTTTTGCAAGTCAACAAATCTAATACATTCCTTGATAACAAAAGCACCTATAATAATAATAATAATTTTTTGAATGGTAGGTGGTGCTATAATTAATATTTTTGTTAATATAATTGATTGGTTAGTACATAAAAATGATTCACTCTTCCATTTAGGTATTTATTCAAGACATTTTGGTATATTCAGGACTAGTACATTACATTGAGATGTAGGAAGAAATGTGTTTAAAGTTTGATAATTATCTGAGTATTCAAGTTTTAACATTGATTACGCTCAGAAATTTGTAAAGTGGTCTCATCTATATATTAAAGAGATTCGGACCCACAACTGTACCTTGTAGTGCTCCATATTTTACATTTTGGTTCGTGGAATATGAATTACCAATTTTAACTTTTGGGTATGGTTAACTAAAAATGATTCAAACTGCTTGTTAGCTGAGTCAATTATACCTAATTCACTAGTTAATAGCCAAATAGTTTTTGCTAATCAATAATGTCGAAGGCAGCACTTAGATCAAGTAACATTAGTAATAAAGATTTATCAAAGAGTTCAAATATATCATTGGTAAACTTAAGTAAAAGGGTTTCAATCAAGTGATGTTTTTTGCATTTTTATATTAGCTTGCTTATGAATGCTAATGAATACTAAATTATAAGCTAGTCTATAATTTTTAAAGTCTTCAGTATCTGTGGCAGAGTCTAACTTCTTTTTTATTGAAAGTGTTGTAGCACTTTTTAGACAATCTATGCTGCTTGATTCTAGCAATATATTTACTATTTGTATGTATAAATATTTGTATATTATTTATTTAGAGTAGTAGATATGCTAGAACTGGATCATCAGGAGTACATTTTACTACAAATGACATGGTCATTTTGTAAATTTCTTCGTATGTCATTGGATCAAAATTTTTTGAAAACTGGCCATAGTAATTTGACGTGCTTTTTTTGTTTAGGATATTTGAAGATTAGACCTGAGTTTTTTGATTTTTTCAGTAAAATAATTATTTAATAGTTGTTAGCTAGTTCTTTGTCTGAATCGACTGTTGGTAGTACATATTCTTGAGTTTTACCAAGTAGCTTATTTACCAACGAGAATAGGTTTTACTTGAAATGTTTTTATTTAATAGGTTAGAATATTGTTGTTTTTTTCCTGAGGCATCTTTTCCTGAGGCATATTATTTTTTGTCAACATCATTTTTTGTTCTCTTACACAATTTTTCTGCTTTTTTGTGTTTCTGCCTAAATTGCAGATATTCACTGTCAAACTACAAAGCTGTTTTGACTGTTACTCTTTTTGTTTTTAAAGGTGCATGTTTCTCCACAATCTCTTTCATTACTTGGTTATTTTGTCTTTCATATTATTTGATGATGTTTCTGGTTTATTTTTTAATATTCATTGTTAAAGGACTGTATGTCCACTGTTTTTAAATTCCTGAATGTGATAGTATGGTATAACTTTTTTTCTACTTTAAAAACAATGAGAAAATGGTCATTCAAATCTGCTAATGGTCATTCCAGAAAATGGTCATTCAAGTCTGCCACAGCTAGCATAATTACTGATATTTCATCTGGCTTTTTAATTACTACATTTAGTATGTATCCAAGTTGATTATTTGACTTTTTGTGTAAGTAGATCTAGTATTTTTTAAAAAGTTTTTGCTATATAGTTCTTTAGTATTTAATTGTATATTTATATTACCAGCTATAACATATGTGTAACCTGTTGATTCTATTGTTTCAAATAAATCCATGAATTCATCCAGAAATGTTGTGCGAAAGTTAAATATTAGTTTATAAATACAAATTAAAATCAGTAATCTTTTGGCTACAGTAATTTTAACACACGTGTTTAAAGGAGTGAAGTTGTTTATTTGGTAGTTATTTGTGATTAATTGTTTTAACACAATTCCTACTCCGCCACCTTTTTCTTTATCTCTTCTTTTCTTATGTTGTGACACATAAAATATAATTTTTTATTATTGCTGTTGTATTATTGTTTTCTGAAGTCATCTATGTTCCGGTAATAAAAACTGTCTGGATTCCAGTCAAGTATATGCTCTGTTACATTTGGAAGTTTATTAGTAAGAGGGTGAACATTCCATAGTGAGCATACATATTTATACATAGTAACCTAACCAAGAGAAAAAGAAAAAATAAGTTAAAAATCAGATATGACTTTTAAGTAACTTATACAATAGCAATAATTCAGTAAGACTTATATAGAAAAAAAGTACAAGAAAAAAAAAAGATCAAATTCATGTATACAAAAATAATAAAAGAGATCAATAACACAACAGAAACTTTAATTTTGGATAAATTATATAACTTTGTTGAGAACAGAAAATAATGTTGTTGACAACAGAAAAATTCTTTGATTATATTGAAAACAAAAAATAGCATTGTTCACTTCAATTTACAAATAAATAATACAATGCATTAATATAATATATGCATATAATCAGGCACTTATCATATTTATCATATAAATAAACATGTAATATATTATAATTAAAAAAATGTCTGGGCCACTAAAGCAAACTTTTTTACAGCATAATTGACATTTTCAATTTACTTTATATGTGGAAAATAACTAAACAATCATTCTTCAGATGTGCAATAGATATTAAGATATAATAACTACTAGATAATAACTACTAGATAAATAAGTACTAGATAATAACCCTAGCTTATTTTATTATTTTAACCAAAATGTTTTTTTTTCAAAATCCAAACTGGATTTTTTGTCTAATCTAATCTTATATATGGCGATAATAAAGCCAAGTTTAGTTGCAAATTGGTATCAAACTTATCTATTATGAGATAAGTACAAAACATGAAATGATTCTAATAACGTATGAAATACTTTTTTTTTTTTGTACTGCAAAAATAAAAAATGAATAAATATAAGCATGTATAAATGTATTATGAAATGTATAAATCTTCACAGTAATTTTAATTTAATTTTTTTTTTTAAAAGCTTTTGTTGTTGTTGTTGTTGTTGTTTGATTGTTTTTATTATGTTAATGATGTGGTTTTAAATGTTGTTTCGTAACTTTTGTCATTTTTTTGACATCAATAAGTTTTTTTTATGTTTGATTTGATTAAACAGATATAAAATTATCATCTTATAACTATTTAAACCTAAGAGCTCAAAATCAGAGTTTAAATATTATTCGTAATGTTTTTTAGAAAGGAATCATCAAAATCATTATTAAAACTTTCTCACTTTGTCAGCTGCTTCGTTATTTGATTCTTTGCCCATGAAGCCATAAAATAAATTCTTGTCTAAGACATAATGTGGACCTTTGCATTAATATATAATAACATAAAAATAATATAACAAAAAATCTCTAAGGTATAAATTTGCTATTTATGTCACAACGTAAAGATTTTCGTGATACTTGAGTATGACACATGATAAAGCCGACCTTCTAACCTGTATAAATTGTATCTTCCGTGTTTGCAAATTAAAAAATAAAAATCAATAATCGCAAAAAAAAAAATTCATAGATAATTGATTTAAATATAGAATATCTAATAAATATTATTAATTGATAAGTGAAGGAACGTCATCGATATTATTTAACCAATCCTCAAAAAATTACACTACCATTAACTATCAGACTCCCAGTTTACCTTCCTTAATACAAGATTTTTGCAAGGTACAAATAGTTTAGGCCCGCACCAATAATTAGCATACTTGGAAGTAAAAAATAGTCGATTTTGTTAATTTGTTGTTACATTTATCGCATAAATTTTTATGTAAATAAAAAAATTCAACTTTGCTCAATTACACACAAAACATAACATAATTAGAAAAATCGAAACAAAATTTTATCACAATAATACTTTAAATATTTGTGCATAAGAATTACAATGTTTATGTGTATTTTGGGTATTACCCAAAGATTCTCTATGGTAAGACTTATTCAGTCTTCTACGAGCTCCCTATAACAACATAATCTATCTTGTCAAGTCTTTCATAATATATTCAACTAATGCTTCCTAAATTTGAATTTTTTTTTTCTTCTTCTTTCCTAACTGAATGTTATTTTTTTTAACATATATTTTAGCAGTATTTGGTTAAATATAATTTTTTGTAACGGTAGTATATTTTTATTATACCATGATATGTAAAAAATTGTATATATATATATATATATATATATATATATATATATATATATATATATATATATATATATATATATATATATATATATATATATATATATATATATATATATATATATATATATATATATATATATATATATACTGGCGTAGGAACAGCGGGGCGATAGCCCCCCAAACTAAAGCAATGAGGGGGGCGGATACTGCATATAGCCTCTCCTCATTTCCTTAGCAGTTTTAAAAAAACTTTTATGAAAGCAACAACGGAATTATCATTTTCCAGTCTGCAATGACTCAATCACAATTGAACATCATCATGGAAAAGTATATCCATAAAACTGTTTAAGGTACTCTCGCATACTAACTATTTTTTAAATGAATGTGTGCTGGCAAAAGATGACTAATCATGTTAAAAAGATGATTAATCACGTTGCGTGTGATTAATATATATATATATATATATATATATATATATATATATATATATATATATATATATATATATATATATATATATATATATATATATATATATATTTATATCTTTTTTTTTTACTTATTTATATCTAAATATATACATATACAATAAATATAATTTTGTGCTTGAATATCCTTATGAAACGAGTATAAAGTACGCAGCTAAAGATAAACTTTAGGAATTTAGTCATTAGAATTAAGTCACTAGTTTCAAAGATATCAATAATATTAAAATGCTCCATCACTCTAGATAATTACGAGGTAACTATCTAGAGTGATTTTAGGTAACTATCCGGTGGGAAATGAGCTAGTGACTAGCTAGCGACTAGCTAGCTTTATAGCAATTTTCTTGCGATTTTTTTTTCCTATTTAATTATTTCCTAATGTCTTAAACATATTTAAAAATTCTATTTTTAGTTTCATGTCTATAATAATTATGAGGATAATCGAACTTTAAACATTGCGATTTTGTAGCTATGTGTCGCTAGCTAAATATCGTAGCTTTGTAGCTATCTAAAAAATATCTACAAATCTATAGGTGGTTCATACCTACATATCAAATTTTTTTAGACAACGACTTTACTACGGTATGACGCTAGCTGCAATAGCCAGTGGGTCTTTAGCTTATTAAGCTGGCTGTCCTCTTAACCAAATGTCTGTCTTTATCTTAACAAATATCGATAGCTTTTCGCTAACTTAAAAAAGCTAGCGATCCTCGCTGTCTTTATTGTTACGATTATAGCTATTCGCTAGCTGATTTCCCACCGGGTAGGTAATTAACCCATTCTTACTCTTGAAGGTATAACCTTTAAATTTATAACATTAAAAGTATTTTTGGAGTTTATCATTGAAATACTTTTTAGAGATGCATTTATTTTTAAGTGCATTGATTTTTATTTTAAAGTATTTTGGATAGTTTACAAATGTTATTCCAAGGCGCTCCGCGATAAGTTTATTAGTACTTTGTGGAGTATTTTATAAACCACAAAAACTAAATGTATATATATATATGTATGTATGTATATATATATATATATATATATATATATATATATATATATATATATATATATATATATATATATATATATATATATATATATGTATAATTAAAAATATGTATATATATATATATATATATATATATATATATATATATATATATATATATATATATACATAGCAGCCGTGGCGCAGTGGTTAGAGTTCTGGCTCAGAATCCAGAGGTACTAGGTTCGACGCCAGCTCTAGCCCAACAAGTGACATTGGTACGGAAGGAGGCGTGAACTTCCTGTTAAATGCTCTCCCGCGGTGCTCTATGATAAGACCGTAAGGACTTCTGGGAGCACCTAAATACATTTTCTTTATTTTACTTCACCTCCTCAAGGCCGAGAAGGCCACTACAGACGAGGAGGCTACTTATTTTGTGGCTATAACCCTCTCTCAACTCTATAACTCCGAAACACGAACATACAAAAAAAAAAAAAAAAAAGAAGATATATATATATAAATTTAATAAATTTTTGTTCTTTATTATACAATTGTTATTATTATTTTTAATTGTATATATATAATTAAATTTTTTTTTTTGCAGACAGTAAATTAGATGTTGAGACGTTTCTCATTTATTTGCTTCTTTCTTTTATTTTAATCAGCTGTATTTTTCAGTAAAATTAATGAGGTTGAATGATTAGACTGGGTCTTCTATCAGCTTTTCTTATGTTGTAAAAACATTTTAAAACTTTAATTTTAAATGACGAAATAAAAAAATATAATGCTGGAAATAGTAATAATTCTTTAATTGTTAACTTTATTCTATTATTATTTATTTTCAAATTTTTTTTTTCTTCTTAACAACACTTTTGAATCGTTTTTAATAATTTAATCCGTATGCAAAATTCGAAAGAAATAGAGTTATGAGAAAATGTGAAATCCATAAGAGTTGAATCCATAAGCATAAAATTAAAAAAAAGAAACTAAGAGTCAAATAGATAAAAACTCTTTGAACTTTTCTTTTTGTGGTTTTAATTAAATTTAAAAAGTTACTCAGCAATCATTAAAAAAAATAACCGACTGCGATTTACCAAATAAACAAAGTCATCGTCTGTTGATATCGCAACGTTTAGATGCGGTGACAAAAACAGCACGAAAACTAGTTTACGGATCTGGCAAACGGAGGATTGTTAACTGAAAAAATTATCGAAACGGTTAATAAACGGAGCCTAATCGCTTGGATTAGAAAACCATTTATTTTCCTCCGTTTTATAACCGGCCGTTAAGAGTTTTTTTCTTAACGGACGCTCATATTTTATGTTAGTTAAACGGAGAGTTGTGAATACAGCTGCTGCTAGCGGCAACAAAAATTATTCAAGTTTCTTTATATTTTGTGTTAAGTATAAATGCCTATTACAAGTAAGTATAAATTTAAATCCTATTTTATATAAAGAAATTTTTTTTCTTAATATAAAGAATACAGAGACTCATTAAAGACCACTAGGTCGTATCATCAAGAATCACAAGAGCGTTAAATATAAATACGATAAAATAGCAAGATGAAAACATGAATAGGCTTGACAAAATATAAATATCAAACAGTGGTCAATTATATATAATGTTGAAATGAATTTTTTTTTTTTAAATGAAATATTTAATTATTTTAAAAAGTGATTAAAAGCAAATATTTAAAAATATAGAAATATGCCTTTAATTGTAAAAATGATTTCATTTAGTTTTCTTTTGAAAGAATACTTATTCCATTCACAAGTAAAATAAAAAAATTCAAAACTAATTAGTTCCATATAAATGCTCTACAAAATGAAATGCAACCCAGTGGACACGATACATTTTTAAATGTTCTTTGGACGTTTTTATTAGATTTAAACTTAATAAAAACGTACCGTGCCCACAGGAGAATTTGCTAATATTTGATTTAAATTTTGATTGTCGTATAAAAATAGAATTTGGTTATATATATATATATATATATATATATATATATATATATATATATATATATATATATATATATATATATATATATATATATATATATATATATTACATGAATATAAATCACTAAACGAAACTGGACATGACCTAATTTTGCATGTAAACATAAAACAACGTATGTTTAAAATGATAACCTCGTAAATATTAAGAATGTTTAGGCTAAATAAGAGAGGCTTTGCAAAAGTTAAACGATCTATTAAGTTAAGCAGACGTACTAAATGGTTCTGCTGACAATATTGAAACTTTAAATTTTGTGGGTATTCCCAATACCACCATTGCCTTAACTAACAGTGAATCAAAGAGTAATAAAGTTGAATTAAAGTTGCATTGCAATGCTTTTCAATAAATAAAGGTTTTATATACTTTTTTCAATTTTATTGGATGAAGTTGCGCGTAATTTAAGTTACGATTTGTATGTGTAGGTTACATTCGGTCAGAAAAACACGGACAAGACGTTTAATAAAACTTCGTTAAAGTTAAAGTTTCAAAATATTTTTTAGTTTTTCTGTTTTGCCGTTGTTGGTGTCTTCTACCAATATTATTCTATGTTATCAATAATATAACGTAAGGGTTACGCCTACTTTAAAATAAAAAAAAAAAACAATGCTGAGATAAGCACTAATAATTGCTGGTCGGAATTTAAACCAATAAATTGCATTACTTAGTATTGATCGCAGCAGTACTCTTTACATTATCCATAACGAAAAAAATTCAAAATATTTAAAATAGACAGCGCCAAATAAATTATTCTTTTTAAAAATTCAATTAATCCAAATAACCTTATTATCATTAATAATAAAATTA